TGATTGGGCATCGAAGTGTACTGAGTACACTTTGAACTTGGATCCCGTTTAAAGTGCTTATGATCCGATGAACTGAGCATCGGCTTCCCAGTGGCTTTTATTATTAGTAGTAGTAGTAGTAGTATTTCAAAACGTAACCAATAACAAGGAACTGGCAAATATGCTACAACATAGGAGAACAAAGAAATTTGAATAATTTATTCACAGGTTATGTGGACATTTTACTTCCCGGTCGCCCTGGTCGAAGAAGGGGGTTGACTTCGGGATCCCCACCCGAAGCCTTTGGCTAGAAAGCCAGACTTGCAAAACAACAGGACGGAACTCAGAGTCCACAGTCCATTGGACGCCGATGTCCAGTTGATTAGATCGTACGCCTTTTGGACGGGGTCAAACTTCCAAGGTGACCAATACATCCCTATGCCCAATGGATCCGGTGACCACTGCCGCAACCAGGAAGGTGTGCATGTGGTCCGTACGCATCTTCTTGGTTGGGTTGGAATCAGTGTTTTTAGCCAACTCCCTTAAATGAACTGCCAATTGTTCACCAACTCGATTATAGCCCCGGATGTCGGCTTTTCGTCCTCTCACTTTGGTGGGAATACACTTCAGCAGAAACTCTTAGATTCAGTATCGTGCCTTGAAGGTTCTGGGTGGGGACCGCCAAGTTAATCTTCAACTTCAGCCTCAACAACCGCGAAATCATATGCCTTTGCAAGTCATAGATATCCCGTGTTACGGAATTCCTTCCAGCTTTCATATAACTGGTTGTGCTGAATACATAGACTGGATGCAACAATGTTCAATAGTTAGCCTACATAATTCTCAAAGTTCAGTTCATAAATTATTGACAAACAGCCTATACGTCGCCCAATATGATCTGCTTACGATGTGGCAAAAAGCGTACTTCATATAAAATCCATGAGCACAAAAAGTAACCGTATGCACAAACTTCACCGTGTCCAACATCCAGACACCCCATACAAAAAGCCGATTAAGAGGATTTCAACCGGTAAGTCCAACACGACCCATACAGCGAGGTCTACTGGTAAAAGCTATCATACACCTGAGCCACGGGTAATCTTAAAGATTTTGGGTGCAAAACACCACAAATAAAAAACGAAGAATGCAATAAAGAATTTTGTTAGTTTGTGGGATATATAAATATTCCTTAAGCATTATTCATCTAAGATGGAACTGCAATTTTGAGCGGGCCGGGGCATATTTCTTCAAACCAAATGTTGATGTTTATTGATTTGAACTGACTATACTTCGGACTTCCCTTTCACACACAATCCGCAGTTCATCGATTCAACCATACACTCGGAAGCAAAACTACTTACAATTAACTGAGTTAAATGCCAATGTTGATGGTCAGTGTCACCGTATACCTGTCAGTTTTGGAAAGATCTAGAACAACAATGAACACGACCGAGTGAATACCGGGCAGCTAACGGAGCTCTTAGTTCCAAACCATAGAATCCAAATCGCGCCAAACGTTTTGCAGATTACTCACCAACAGTAGCCTATCTCGGTTATTGATTTACGCAACCCCGGGCGTCTTTCTCATTTTCCTACACAGCAGACACCGAATTAAAAAAGTAGAATTCATCGTGATTTCCTGATAGGCCGATGCACACTGGTAACAAAGCTTCCTAATGCTCCCAGTAGAACTGCAACATTTTAACAAACAATATCGATCGCAGTACAGCGACTAATTTTTTTCAGATCCTTCGAACAGTTTTGTTCTGAAGGAGATGCAATCAAGGGTCGAATGACAAGATCAAAGTGAACCTCTGCGAACCGAATGCATACATATCAGTTCATACCGATGACGACTGATCTACCACAGGCACACATATGATACATCTGACTGTTTCGTGTATAAAATACGCCTCAGTAATATAAGTACTTGAGAACTCAACCCTATTTAATGTTTCATAGAAATATTCTTTATTTGAACGTTTGCCTTGATTAGATAAATCAGGTGCAATCCACAGCCTTTTGGTTGGTCTGTGCGTATGCTGAAATGATGAACAAACACTTTTTGGTGTTTCTGCTCTTCCGAACACGAACTGAACCCTGGAGCCCCAAAACGCACAAACGACTGTTGACGAGTATCCAGTTTATCAGTGAGGCCTCAGCTTTACCGGTCAGTATAATTCCTACACCTCGCCGACCCAGTGAGTGAGCTTTATGGCCTCGAGGACAGATCCGATGCACTCAGACAACTTAGATTGCATCAAAATTATATCAATAAAATTCGTCAGATAAGGTATTTGCATGCATAACGTTCATCGGTTTATAATCTGTGACCTGGCGGGGTCTTGGGTCCGGAATTACCATTGCTTTTTATCTGCAAAGACTAAATATATAAACTCAAACAACAGCAGCTGAAACCGTTCCAGAATACGATAGAATTAGCTAAATGACCGGCAAAGCGAATTTTTCAGCACAGCAGTTCTGAAGAAACAGTTTCCGATATTATTTTAGATCGACTGAAGCTCAAGCACGAGCGTCAATTTAAAACTTAAAAGCAAGAAACTTTTACGTCGCAAGGTTGTTTCCTGAAAGGCAAAACATTTAAGGAAAATCACTGGAACCAGATACTTTATACTATCCGGACACATCCAACACGTTAATTTCTTTATTACACATACTTGGAAGTCGTGAAAACCTGACGTTCAATGAGGGAGACCGTTAGCCTAAGCCCAGGACTTGGAGCGACGAACCACTTAGTACCCGGCCAGGTTAGGCGTGATACAGAATTGAAAGACAGCAAAACTGCCGATTAAATTAAATTACAATTAACCGAATGATCGATGGCACACTGACGGTCCATGAGGCAATCAACATACCGTAAAGCACTCCGTAGGTTGGTATCGTTTGTATTGATGAGTCATCGATTGATTTTACTGATTCTTAGGATTGGCCACTGATTTGTTCTTTTTAATTTGTGAATTTTTGAACCTGTACACCTTACTGAAGAACTGGAAACCCGGACAAAAAGCACTTGTCGCAAACTCCAAAGGAAAGAATTCATAAAAAATAACTTACTTTCTCCAATCGATTGAACGTTATGAATGGCTTGTGACCCGTCACTACCCACAAAGACTGCACAGGACTTGGATAGGAATACTTTATCGGATCATCCGGAGTATGAATCGACTGATGGACACAATCATTGAATAGACCCAAGACGGTGGATTCTAAATGGTTAAATTCAGTTAGATCAAAACATACCGGAAGAAAGAAGTTGGAAATTATCATTCTCCACAGGCAAAGTAAGTGTCTCACATTGTAACTGAAACTCGGTATCGAAAATATCTGCTTGAGTTTGACTGCCCCGTACAATGGAGCGGCATTTGAACAATGTACCAATCAAGTCTTCCCAGTCGAGACATATAATGTTAGATTTGCAAAGGATAGCCAATCGCTGCAGAGCCCAAAGTTATTACTTGTTGGTGAAGAGAAACTCCACTACCTTTACATCACCATCAACACATAGTTGAATACTTCGCACAGGATCTGAGCTGATATGTAGTTCGAAACAGATCTTTCCATCCTAACAGAATAAAGTTTTAAGGGAACGTATGAGCTTACCACATCTACAAACAGCACACAGCCGTCCAATGTCCCAACCAGAACAATCTCCGTGGATTCAACATCTGGTCGTGAATCAACATTTCGTATAGCAACCTTACTCTGACAGACGGATAGAATAAAAATACAGTTGATTGACCTGTGATGGGACAAATCAATATGGTGATATATCTACTTACCGAGATAATCGGCATTCTGTTGTGTGCACCTGAGTTTTTCTATCCGGTTCGGCTGCTAAACAAAACTGAATGAAAAACCAAAGGCGAACATACTTCCCAAAATATACAGAGTTTTATCCACCCCTACTGCCACGAATGTGGCAAGTTGTGAAACAGCAAAATACTGTGAGCGAAAATTGTCATCAACCGAACCAGAGTGCACGAAAATATCCTTAAATTTGTCGCACACTAGAATGGGTATCACAGACATTCTGGGAAGGCGATAACCTCTGGAATATGAGCTAAAAGGACAAATAGAAAAGTTGGTGGTCAAAAACGATGATTTAGAATAGCTATTGTTTTGCCTAACCATTAGCCAGACCATTTTTATTACGACTGCCTACTGAATGCGATTAGCATTTTAATATTTCCGAAAAATAAACACTTCATACAAGGATGATCAGCTGCTTTCAAAAACAATTTAGCAACAGAATCATTTGAGTAATGCCGGTACAATGAATTTTTGTCTATTATGGGGAAGGGGTTTCGACAAACAAACCACACAAAAACCGTGCCATTGACTTCTATTCTGAGCCATACCTCTGAGCGTTTCTAACCAAAGGCAACCTCCACCCCTTGGGCCCCAGCATAGAAGGCGAGTTGCACAAACCAAAACCAATATTGAGGACTATGGCCAACTTTCACCTTCACCGTCTCTAGTGGAGTTCAGCAAGGCTGCCCTACATCTCCATTCCTTTCCAACTTTGCCATAGAGGATGTTCTACAGAATGCTTTGTCCGGTCTAGTAAACGGTGGAGCCGAACTACTCACAGGGAACAGAGTTCTTGACTTATAACATGCCGATGGCATTGCCTTGCTAGGTGACAACGCACAGGCAGTCAAAAACGCTTTGAAACGCTTGGCGAGAGAGGTATCCAGGTATGGTATGTGCTTTGCACCTTCCAAGTGCTAAGTGTTTGTTCAAGACTGGC